CAAAAATTGGGTGAAGAAAAAAAGAGTGCAGAACTTAGGAATTCAGATGATAACTCCATCACTTATTTTCCTTTCGCCAATGATCGGTTTGTACGGAAAAAGCATCACTACCACAGAAAGCTTGATCTCGGATTTCAACGTTCATCCGGAAGTTTTAATCTTTGAGCTTTGACTGTTGGATTTTTAGTTGTACCTAAAAAAATTTTAACCTCACAGACTTAGAGACCGGGGATGTTAATAACCAGGAAATTTGTACTTCTAGTTTTGATAAAGTCCAGGAATTAATTCATCTGGATAATTTTACAATCAAGACATCCGGCCGTTAGCCATTTGATTGGCTGACTTTAGAAGAAGAGTACTATGAGTACTGATTCTGGAGAGTGTCATTGCATGTCTTTCAAATAAAATATTTTAGAAGGGGAGGAAACAGCTTTTCGAGGATAGTCAGAGTAATCCCAGAACCAATTCCCAACCTACTCAGTTTTATCTCCAAGCTAGATGATATTTTCTTTGTCATGGCAGATGATAGAGAGAATTCTTTGATTTAAGAAAGATATAAGTACTGCGAAAATAATTATTGTAATCACGCTTGTCTAGATATTATTTGGTACTACATGAAATTTATCCGAGTATTAAATTTTCTTGGCACTTTATGAATTTATTTGAGTGCTCCTATTTAGTCTTATAGACTTGAAATATATATATATATATATTTGGATGCATCGTTTCATGTGCGATGCCTAAAAGTTGCACCTTTGGGTGTCTGACTTTCAAATAAAATAGGGCATTTTTATGTATTTTAAACACTATGAAGAGGACGTCTCCTTTCACTCAGGCGTAAAATAGGATCGATTGATCCTAGTAGACTTTTAGTCTGGGGGAGTATTAATCCTGGTAGGATTTACGGAAGTACTGAACCCGGTAAGACATTGAGTCTAAGGAAATATTGATCCCAAATACATACATACATACATACATACATACATATATATATATATATATATATATATATATATATATATATATATATCTTCGTAGATTTGTCCTAAATAGACATTTAATCTGACTGGATTTTGAATTCGAATTGGAGTATATGAACATACTTTCAAATAGAGGGGGACACATGTCCGAAATAATATTTGAGATTTTCATTAATATATACGGGATAATCGATCCAAGTCATAATACAATCAGCTGTTAAGAAAGGCTTATATATTTACTTGAATGGTCGTTGTTGGACCGAATATAAATCACGTATTTGTTCAAAGTGAACTTTATTCTGGTGACATATTTGCGTATATTTATCTTGACTTGGATATAAAATACTCAATTTTTATTGTGGGATTCTTGACTCGGATATGGAGTTCTCGACCCTTTTTGGGTACGTGTAGTGTATGTATTTTTGAAGAATTGATTCAACACTATTTGAAGTGTTTATGCTTGATATGATCAAGATAACTAACTGAGTTGAGATGGTGGTAAATAATGTCGGAATACTCTTGGGAATTCTATATCCCAAGGCAATCGACTGTTTGTATCACTTATTATAACATCAGGATTGACTAATCTTCAAGTATAAGTAATTTCCTTAGTGTTCGAGTTTTGAGATATGAGAACTGAAACACTGGAACCATAATTGGACAGTTCCCAGTTTAATAGTCCCGATAAGATAGCTAGTTTCGATATTGATGGACTTTCAAATGGTCCAGTTGAAACCAGAGCTCTTTTATCAAATATTTTTTACTCTGACCGGGAACTACAGAGTTTCCAAAATGTCATCGAGTATCATGCCATATCTTAAATTGAGCTATTCATACTGGCTTTGATGAGTTTTCGATTTAAAGCCTCATTACTGAAGTAATTTTCACTGCTCTCTTTATACATTTTTCGCATCATATGATTTGTTTGTCTCGGTCCTTGTGGCGTTTTTTTGGGAACCTTGAATATTCTCTAATATAATTCTCCTTCAACAGGGAAGTACATGATGAGACGCACTCAGAGTTATCAAAAATGCATGCTTGTCTTTGGGTAAAGTCCCATTCTGCAAGTAGTCAATGATTTTATTATACAATTTCCAAATTAAATTAGTCGAGCTTACCTCATTTCATTCCAATTGATGAATCAGGGATCGCCCAAATAAGGAATGACCCGACCCCAAGACTGTTTGATTTGGAAACGATATTTCTTAATAAAAACCCATAGTTTTTTCCGCAGTCTGTGATATCAGCAGTAGATCCAAGACTAGAAATCTGGATCGGTTTTCTCGAGATGTATAATTTTCTTGGATTTGATCACGAGTTAAGAATCAATCGTTAAATCAATATTTTTGCTCTGAGTCCCCCACTAATTCAAGCCTTGTAACATATGTTTCATACTCGATTTCATTGTTAGTAATAACACAACTTTTATGAATTGTCTAACTACTTCCCCCATAGGTGCATTAAGCATTGTCTCCAACCTGAGACTTTTAATACTTGTGGACCTAATTATGTAGAAGGTCCATATTCGATAATTATCCTAGAAGCAACATGTACTTCTTTTTCAGCTTCAGAAATGTTCGAGCTAAGATTAACCATGAAATCTACTAAACTTGTGATTTTATAGCCGTACATGGCTGATAAATAGCATCATATTCACTAAGTTCGACTACTCATTTAGCTATCCTTCCTGACAGTTCGTGTTTATGCAAAATATTGCGTAATAAAAATATAGTGACTACGAAAATTGGATGACATTGAAAATAAATCCTTAGATTTATGGAAGTTGCTATTAATGCTAACTTCTAAAAACGTAGATATGTAGTTTTCGTGTCTAAAAGCATTTTATAATAGATAGGAGATTGTGTACCTTTATCTACTTGAATTAGGATTGCATTTATCGAGACGTCCGAGACAATTTGATATACCAGTAACCATCTTTCTCCTCGAAATTTTGAAAGTAATGATGGGTTGATGTTAGCTAGCGAGTCCGGATGATTTGATTTTTCGGACTAAACCAACCTTTTGAAGTTTTATAACTTTATCTTTTATTATTTGACTCCAGTTTCTTCTTTTACTTGACCAGATTATACCAATAACAACAACAACAACAACAACAACCCAGTATAATCCCACAAGTGGGGTCTGGGGAGGGTAATATGTACGCAGACCTTACCCCTACCCCGAGGGGCAGAGAGGCTGTTTCCAGGAGACCCTCGGCTCAAGGAAGCAACAAGAGACGATATATTAGTACTATCAATAGACTCATAATAAATAACATAAAATGACATAAATACATAACATAACATAAAATAACAAAATAACAGCAATATAAGAAATATAGGAAATACGCAAAAGATGGAAGGTATACTAATATCCAACAGATAAAGCCCTGCATCAGTAGCTGATCAGTAGCACCCTTAGACTAACTCCTAACTGGCTAGTCTCACTCTAGTGCGCTGTAGAAATATTCACAACTTCCCCCTAACTTACAACCCTAATGCTCGACCTCCACAATTCCCTGTCAAGGGCCATGTCCTCAGTAATCCTAAGTCGCGCCATGTCCTGCCTGATCACCTCTCCCCAATACTTCTTAGGTCTCCCTCTACCTCTCCTCGTGCCCACCACAGCCAGTCGTTCACACCTTCTCACCGGTGCATCAGTGCTCCTCCTCTGAATGTGCCTGAACCATCTGAGTCTTGCTTCCCGCATCTTGTCCTCCATGGGGGCCACACCCACCTTCTCTCGAATATCTTCATTCCTAATCTTATCCATCCTTGTATTCCCGCACATCCACCTCAACATCCTCATCTCTGCTACTTTAATCTTCTGGATGTGTGAGTTCTTAGCCGGCCAACACTCGGTCCCATACAACATGGCAGGCCTAACCACTGCTCTATAAAACTTACCTTTTAGTAACGGTGGCACTTTCTTGTCACACAGGACTCCCGTCGCTAACCTCCACTTCATCCACCCCACCCCTATACGGTGTGTGACATCTTCGTCGATCTCCCCGATCCCCTGAATAACTGACCCAAGGTACTTGAAACTACCCCTCTTAGGGATGACTTGAGAGTCAAGCCTCACTTCCACTCCCGCTTCCGTCGGCTCGGCCCTAAATTTGCACTCGAGGTATTCCGTCTTCATCCTGCTCAACCTGAAACCTTTAGAATCAAGGGCATGTCTCCAAACCTCTAGCCTCTCGTTGACGTCGCGTCGTGTCTCGTCAAATAGGACTATGTCATCAGCAAATAGCATGCACCACGGCACCTCCCCTTGAATATGATGCGTTATGGCATCCATCACCAGGGCAAATAGGAAAGGGCTGAACGCAGACCCTTGGTGCAACCCAGTAATAATCAAAAAATGCTCGGAGTCGCCTCCTACTGTCCTAACCCGAGTCTTAGCTCCATCATACATGTCTTTAATCGCCCTAATGTAGGCAACCGGGACCCCTTTAACCTCTAAGCAGCTCCATAAGACCTCCCTAGGAACCCTGTCGTACGCTTTCTCTAGATCGATAAACACCATGTGGAGATCCTTCTTCTTATCCCTGTATTGTTCCACCATCCTCCTAATAAGGTGGATAGCTTCTGTGGTAGATTGCCCTGGCATGAACCCGAAATGGTTGTCTGAAATAGACACCGTCCTTCGCACTCTCATTTCTACCACTCTCTCCCAGACTTTCATGGTATGACTCAGTAATTTGATACCCCTATAGTTGTTACAGCTCTGGATATCGCCTTTGTTCTTATACAACGGAACCATTGTACTCCACCTCCACTCTTCAGGCATCCTATTAGTCATGAATATAACATTAAACAACCCAGTAGGCCATTCCAAGCCTGCTCTACCCACACACCTCCAAAGTTCAACTGGAATTTCGTCTGGCCCGGTAGCTCTGCCCCTCCTTATCTTACGCATTGCCTCCATGACCTCATCGACCTCAATGTCCCTACAATAACTTAATTCATGGGGGCTGTCGGCATTCCTCAACTCACCTAGTACAATATCCTGATCCCCTTATTCATTTAGAAGTCTATGAAAGTAGGTCTGCCATCTCCTCTTAATCTGGTCATCCCCCATCAAAACTTTGCTGTCATCATCTTTTATGAACCTCACTTGGTCTAGATCCCGAGCCGTCCTCTCTCTCACCTTAGCGAGTCGGAATAACTTCTTCTCCCCGCCCTTGTTCCCTAGTTCCTCATACAGACGAGCAAAAGCTGCCGTCTTAGCCTCCGTTACTGCCATCTTCGCCTCCTTCCTAGCTACCTTATATCTCTCACTGTTCGCTCTCTTCTCCTCCTCGCCAGTGCTCCCTACTAACCGCAGGTAAGCCGCCTTCTTCGCTTCTACTTTACCTTGGACAACTGCATTCCATCACCAGTCTCCTTTGTGGCCACCGGTGCGGCCCGAAGATATCCCTAACACCTCTCTCACCGCCTTCCTTATACAGTCCGCCATCGTCGACCACATAGTGTTTGCGTCCCCACTACTTCTCCAAGCTTCCATTACCGATAACCTTTCTTCCAACTCCTGAGCTTTATCCTTAGTCAAGGCGCCCCACCTAATCCTCGGGTGGCCTCGTACTGACCTCTTCTTCCTCCTTATCATAATACCAATGTCCATCACCAAAAGCCTATGTTGCATTGCAAGGGTCTCACCTGGGATAACTATGCAATCCTCGCACAACCTTCTGTCGCATCTCCTGAGGAGGAGATAGTCAATCTGAGTCTTCGCCACCGAACTTTGGTAAGTAACCAAATGATCCTCCTGCTTCGGAAAAATTGAGTTCGCAGTCACTAGATCGAATGCCTTGGCAAACTCCAACAGCGAAGTGCCCCTTCCGTTCCGCTCCCTGAAATCGAAGCCGCCATGCACCTCAGTATAACCACTTGCAGACGACCCAATATGACCATTGAAATATCCTCCTATGAATAACCTCTCGGAAGGCGGAATACAACGAACGATGTCATCCAACCCCTCCCAAAAGCGCCTTTGTTCTATCAATATTGAGCATATAAACCATTACCTCCGGTGGTATACCTATTATGTTAGTATGGGGGAAAGTAAAGCAATTTGCGTTAGCACATAAAAGTTTAATCAACTTACCTTTAAAATCAGTGTCGAGTCTCGACCAACGTAAACCTTTCGATTTGGGAAGTTAATGATAGTTTCTAGTTCTTCAGCATTTGACCCCGTGGCTTCTAAATCTTTCGGTTCATGATTGTTCCCAAAAACATTTGTCTAATTGTCCATGCTATTAATGAACCTTCTTCCTCGTAGTCTTTAATTATTCATCCCGCACCTATTTTTTCTTTTTCAGTTGTCAGGTGCGGTATCTTTGTAAGTAATCCCGTGGGTGTTTTACCCATGCTTTTTTCTAACCTTCATTCTTCTCCTGTGGGATTTTGCAATTTAGCAAGGTGATTCCTTACTTGTTCGGGAAGGTCTGGATCTTTTTCAGCCCGTGAAAAAAATCCCGTATCTCTTTGCTCACACCTGTTTTTTAAGATTTGTTCGTTTAGATTCAGATCACCCAAGAACCTCCTCTATTTGGCCTTCGAACCTATTTTTGATTTTCAATTGAACCTCTGTGCCTTCCTCTATTTGAAGCCTGGTGCTGTAACGGTTATGCATATCACTCTCATGGAAAGTTGGAAATTTCGGAGGTGTTCTATCCGCTCGTTATGTTCCTTGATCTATTTTGTAAAGTTAGAACTAAATTTTGCAAATTAAAATTACATGGTATATCTGAACCACATGTTCTGAAACTATTTTGTGCAGATTCGTTATAATTAAATCTGGTACTAATACTTGCGGTACCAATATACCAATGTACATTCTTCAGTTTTCTCTGTTTGTTGCTTACCTACCATTATCATGGCTATTCTTACATTTTCATTTTGCATGATAAAGCCATCTCCAACTTGGTTGTCCTCAACTGTGTTGGTTGAGAAATTTCGATCACAATGAAGGTTTAAACTAGAAACAAGCGAATATTAACAAAAATTGTTAGTATCTTTGGATAAATAGCAAATTTGTTTGAGTTTCCGGTAATAGAACCAAACTGTTTAACCCAAAAAATGATTTTCAAGATCAAAGTAATAAATTTTATATGACGGACCACAAGCAACAAATTCGATCCGAAAGATATAATTTTTCGTCAATACACCGGATAGAGAAGTGAAAAATAAATTCAATGACAGATAATATAAAAAAAAAAAAAAGCAGAGAAAAAATAATTCTTATTGAATGACCCTTGATAGGATGATGAGTCGAACAGAGTTTGAAGGGCCGAACTATGGCTAACTTGGAAGCAAGATGCTATGAATTACAATGTATAGAATCTTAGAGAAGAAAATTAGATTCCCCTAATGGTGATAAAAGTATGTCCATTTATAGGGTTAAATCTAAGTAGCCATTCTCCTTGAATTATGGGTCCATTATGAGCATTTACTCAATCCATCCATTACTTTTGGAAGACTTGTAGCTGCTGAATAAATGCTTGAATTCCGTAACTAATGAGTTAATTACATAACTGATGAGTTAATTCAGTAATTGATGAGTCAAACCCATGCCTGTTGAGTCAATCCCGTACCTATTGAGTCAATCTCGTAATTGATTGCCTTGTTCTGACTGTTACAACCATTTATTGCATTTATTATACGTTACATAATTGATGGCATAATGATTGTAAATTCCATGTAATCCGGGATTAATTGTTTCTTTCCTCATTTGTAATTATGAGTTATTCTCCTGCAACTGATCCAGAGCTATTGTACGATGATCAGTTCCCAGACTAACAGGCACGATACGAGTATGCTCGGTTCCGAGGGTGTTTCACATGTCATCTTTACATGTAATTCTTCACTCTTCTCATAACTTTGCTGACATGTGTCGCCATTTAATAGACCCATGTGGCGAGACTATTTTTCATTAATACATAAATACTATTTTCAGAGTTAAACCGTCTTTTCTTTTATTATTAGATTTTCAAAAGTTTTTTTAAATATTTTAAAGTTTTAACTATATTAACTTAGTATTTTGCACATAATTTTCAAATATATAAACCTTTTTAAAAAGAAACCTTATGAATTTATGTTTTATTTCACACCCGATGCGCTCGTAATCCAAATCGCTTCACATAAATTTGGAAAGAGATAGTTCTAAAAATAGTTAGTTTTAATTAAACCAACGCAAGAAAGGAATTAGAAAAATAAAAACAAAATTCGATATTTGCCGGTTAATGGCTAAAGTGAATGTACACTAATTTGAATGGAGCGTGAGGAGGGGAGCATAGAAGTGGTTGTGTACATCAAAAAGCAAAAGATACTTGCATTTAAAGGCTTCAAAAAACTTATGATATTTATGAATTAGAGTAATGTTTTGAATAGGAACACCAATATTCCCTCTCCGTGTCCAAATATTCCTCAGTATTGGACTTACCTTCTCATCTTGTCTATTGTCGAGCCCTTCTTCTCTTGGCCACTGTCCCAAGAAAATTAAAAAATTAAAAAATCAAGAGGAAGAGTATTTCCTAGACAGAGCCAACCATATTCCTCGGCGTCAACCCACGTGACTTGTGGCCGTGACTCTGTCCTCTACCTTACACCCAGTTGACATACCCCCTCTTCTTTATCTAATTACCACCAAATCTTGTACTTAATTAATTCTCTCTTTTTTTCGGAAAAAAATAGACCTATGATTTAGTAGGCGTTTGAACATAAGATATGTGATTTTTAAAGAAAAAATAGTATTTGAAGTTAGATTGAAAAATGGTCTTTAAAATTTAAGATTGTGCTTAGACATTTCACTCATAAAAGTATTACACCAAACAATAGTTTGAGGATGAGTTTCGAAAAAAAAGAAGGAAAATATGCTTTATATATTTTATTGTAGTCTAGGATTTCTTAAAAATAGCTTATACCCTCTCACTAACCGTGTTTTTGACATAACTTTTGCTTTTTTGGACATTAACAAAAAGCTTTCGAAAAAATGTATGGATGAAAATGTTTTGTACAAACGAAGAAGTGTTTGGATTTTTGCGATTTTTTATTTTTATGAGCTTTTTTAATGAAAGAATATTTCAAAAAGTACATCGCAGTATTTTCAGCCTAAAAGTAATATTCTGAAAATTTTCTAAGATATCTATTTGAAACTTATTAGCCAAACAAGTTTCTTTTGGAAATGCCTTTAATTATTTCAAACATTTCCACGTCCACACGCCTAAGAATTCAAATTCATTTGACCAATCAAATTTAAGCTTCAACGATATTATACTTTTTATATAGCTTAATTAATGTTTTTATTTCACCACTAATGCTATATTTATTTGTCATATAAATATGTAAAATATGTAAGGCTCGATCTTCTATACTAGATCAGCAAATTGGAGGAAGAAAAAAAAAAGGTTGAAAATCTTGCATGACCAAAATGTGAATTAAATTTCAAAATTTTGAAAAATTAAGTAACAAACTAGAGAAAGAAAAAGAAAAGTCTGAAGATCATAAATATGACCAAGGTGAAATTCATTCACATATTAAAAGTTAAATCACAATATACAGATCGTGTATATAGTGTGTTGGGTAGTGGGATTAGGAGTATTAGAAAAGAGTTAATTTATTAAATTAGAATTTTAAAGGCAGGGTCAGCGCCTGATGCGCTCTAGATTCTTTGGGAAATGAGAATTTTCAACCTTATTCTATAAATCTTATCTCTGCCAATTAATATTCTTCAATTGATCGAACTCTTTTCTATCTGTCTCTTTCTCTCGCGATCGTGTGTGTTGGATTACGGATTGGAATATTAACACAATAACCACTAATATTAATTTTTGTTTCATAGTTGGAGTTATTAATTTTTTTAATAAATGGGCTAATATATCTGGTCAACATTTCTCTCTCTCTTTAGTCTTTAGTATTTAGCAAGCTCACTTTTAAAAAGTTATTAAATGCTTTAAGCTAATATTCCATATTCTTTACTTTTGTCTCATCTCATCACACCTAACCCCTCTTTTCCTTGTACTTTCATCTTATATTTCTATTTCTAACTCATTTAATTAAGAACAATCCTTTTCAACTTTCCTTTTTCCCTTTAAACCACACGCAATATTTTAATTTTAAGAGGAAGATTATAAACAAATACACAACGTTGGAAGAATTTAATTCAAAGATGCCATCCGAGGAACATCAAATATTAAAGTATGAATATAGCAAAGTTAGACATTTCAGATCTCTTAAGCATGTTCTTTATTCCATAGACCTAAGCAAAGAATAACTTGATATTGAATTCTAAATGCAGAAAAGGAAAAATAAATAAATAAATAAATAATAGCAAGTTAAACGACATGGACGGTCAAGCATTAAGGACATGACTCATCGCTCGTCAAAAATTAGCTTCATAGACACTCTATAGTCCATATATTATTAACTATATATGAATTCTGATCTATACTCATCTTTTTGTCGTTAACAAGTTAAACTATAGTGCTAATTAAATACAACAACTTAAAATAATGAGAAGAATAATAGTTCTTCTATAGTTATTCGTAAAGGGACTAGAATAATATTATGTATATAAAGATGTTTGCTTCGAAATTTGAATAGAATCAACATAATATTTCTTTCCTAATCCCCTTGAGCTAACACAGAAGAGAAGACAAAAAAGAAAGAAAGGAATCAGCGGAATCAACGCCGTTTCGACTGACGTGTTCCATGAGCCACGACATTGCCATCTTAATTAAAAATTAACCCTTAATAAAAAAGAAAAGGAAAAAAAATAAAGATATACTACTTGTTTTTATTTTTTGAATATTGTGGAATAGTATGGGGAGTAAAAGAGATGAGAAAGAGAAGACAGTCAAAAACAGTACAAAACAAACATTAAAAAGTTCAATAATTGAGAACCTAAAAATAGGGTAGTTCATCGCTTTCAATAAGAGACATTTTGATAGCAACATATAGTCAGTATGTATAATTATTCCACCAGCAGTACATAATTACATATTTTGATACTCAACTACTACAACAAACTCTAGCTTACTGGCTAGATTCCAGCTTCTCTTTTGTTCTTTCTTCTAAAGCTCCAAAAACAACTGATCTTTTATGTGAATAAAGATCATGAGCCAGAGGCGGATGTAGAGTTGCAATTCAACTGAACACACAGTACTTTCGACGTAAAACATAAATTTAGGTGTAAAAATTTACTAAAATTATAATAAAGTAGTAGGTGTGAACCCTAATTTAAAAATATAATAGGTTCACGGCAAAAAAACCTTTACGGTTGAACCCATAAAGTTTAAATCATGCATCTGCCGCTGTCACGAGCATTCAGCCTAGAGTAAAGTGGCCAAAACACAATAAAAATCCCTTTGAAAACTCTTACTTATTGGTTTTTGGATTTACTTGTGGACTGAATGTATTGGTAAAAATAAATATTACACGTGGATTTATATGAGTGGCTGATATGACAAGACACGTGGATCAGTAAGAAAGCGACAACTGGAGAGATGCATTAAAAGATGCACAAGTCGTAATAGATACGAGCAAATCACCCACGAGAGGAGAAGATATGGTCACTCAAGTTTAAATGGTTACAAGAAGAGGTACCGGCGGAATGAATCAAGACATTAAAAAGGAAAGATTTATGAATCATCAGTTAATGAACATGAATGTTCTCGGACGTTATAGAATCTTCATAAACACTTACAAGTACCAATTATAACGTCTCATTAATGTCATTAATGCTCATAATGATTCGGTCATAAAAGGAAAAAGATATTATCCATATAGACTCTGTTTACCATGAAATGGTAATAATAATTAAATTTGATTATGGGACTCTAAAAATACATGATCTATTTTTATGCTAGTTGTTAAGCAGTTGATGCTACGTGTGAGACTTAGAAACAAAATAAGAGTTGGGAATGGGGTGATAACAAACCGATAGGTTGACAATCGGGGCCTCGAGCTTGTCGATTCGGGGGCCTCGAGGTCGATTCCGGGGCTCGACTGTGAGCTATCGAAGGTGATCGAAGTATGACTAACAGTTATGATAAAATCAAAGAAGACTCTTTATGGCCAATGATAAGCAATAAATGATGAACAATAATGAAGATAGTAAATGGAAGCAATAATATCAAGAGAATATGTAAGAGAGCAGAGAGAATGTTCTTTTATATTTCATGTGGAGCAACTGAAGCAACAGGGGTCCTACAAAATGACAAGGACTCCCTTTATATAGGAGGGAAATCCCAACATAGTACAAAATATATTAATTACATAGATATAGGGATGAGACAGCTGAATGACGCCCTGATTTGGGTTCAGAACAACCCACTAGACTTTGTCAGTCCTAGTCGTGTGTCTTGGGAACTCCCCATTTCTACCATAGCAGGGTCAACATTATCTCAAGGTCGAGCGTCGACGAACCTCGAGGAAGGAGAACTCGATCGTAGCCTTGCAGCCTCGAGCCTTCACGATGATCTTCCGAAGTGCCTTGATTACGAGGAATTGGACCCTCCGATTCTACCGTATACAGATAGTCCCCGCGTTTCTTATAGTAGAGCGACAAGAAACGACTTTGAAAACCATCTTTTCGAATCTCCCGTGATGATACCATATTGATGGTGTAAGCCTTTGTGATAACCGGAACGTCCCGTCAGTCCACTTTTCCATAATTATTCACTGCACCGTCGACCTTTATTCTTCAGAACAATCATATCGCCGTCAGTCCATTTTTCCAAAACGCATTAATTGCTCCTGCCGATATGTCTTTCAAAGACACTAATGGGGTCGCCAGTTACGCTGCCATCCCCTATAAAAGGGAACCTCCTGGAGCCACTTCTTTATTCAAGTGTTCTGAGATTAGTCTTTCGCCATTCTCTTCTCTTTATCCCCATCCATTGTCATTTTCCATGTTTGAGCCCTGCGGTCTCAGGACCGTATGGCGGAGTTTTCATCAGTCATGCCGCAGCCCTTTCATAGGGCTTTCTCTTGCCGAGCGAAATTACACCGATTTGTTGTTGTTGTTGTTGTTGTTGTTACTGCTGTCGTTGTTGGCTCGAGATGGTGAGACAAGGAGGTGGGAATGTATTTGGACTATACACTGCTGCTCATGAGGGCACTCGGACTATACACTGCTGCTCACCCTACTACCCCGGCCTGGTGTGGCACTTCACCCCCTTTGCTTTCCGTGGGGTGAAGTGGTACCTCTGGCCAGTAGCTTGCATGGCAAAATGTCCCAAGAAGTGGATTCAAAGTAGCCATGCAAGCGAGGCCGACGCCCGCCAAGTCTTCTACCGGGCCATGATCTTTCTAGACTGGGTAAAGGCTTTGCTCTTTGACGGGCTATGGCATTTTTTCATCCCTTTCTGCTCCTCCCACTTTCCTCTTCTTCATCTTCTCCTTTGAAGATGCTACTTTGGGAGACCGAGATGAGACCGTTGAGGAAGCGGTGCTTGAGTATACTGCCACCGAGGGTGCTCCCTGGAGAATAGGCTAGGCTCTGAGCTCTAATCATATATGTACACCTTTTTGTTTCTTTGTTTCTGTGTAAGGACCCTTCCTAGGCTTTTGTAACCATATGTAAGGACCCTCGTGGGCTTTTGTAATCAAGTGTTTATGAATACAAAGATGTTTCCCCAATTTTGTCTCTGGTGTTTGCTATATTTCCTTTTATTTGTGCTTATGGAGACTCTGAATGCATGATTCTACCGGTTGGTGTCGATATCGAGCCCAGGTATAAGTATTTTTTCCTGACTTTTGATTGAATAATACGGCTCCCCTTAGAACCATTTGCCTTTCCTCGGACCAAGCCTGGATTGGACCGATAAACTCGGGTCGTCGGGACCCTTACTTCGGGTTAAATGAAAGTAATGTTTTGAGCCTTGAGACCGTGGTTTATCATTCAGACCTCGCGGTAATCTTCGGGGGGAAATTCTCTCGGAGGTCCGAGGATAGGGACTGCCTTTAAGCTTTCGAGTGCAGTCCCCGAGCGGGGGTTCGTTCAAACTCGGGTCACCTGGAAACCTGTTTCGAACTTAGCGTAGATAGCCCTAAGGCGTTGCAGGTAGATTCTGAACGAGGTTTTACCTGAATTTAGGTAGTACCCCGTGATCAAGCCCATATGGGTGGAGCTTAAATGTTTATTTCCTTGGAGCCTAACGTCTTTTTGATGGAGATCCTCGAGGTCGGGTACCACCTCGGGACTCGCGGTGATGCCGTTGGCTTCTTAGAGCCTAACTTCTTTTTGGTGGAGGTCCTCGAGGTTGGGTACCACCTTGGGACTCGCGGTGATGCCGTTGGCTTCTTAGAGCCTAACTTCTTTTCGATGGAGGTCCTCTAGTTCGGGTACCACCTCGGGACTCGCGGTGATGCTGTTGGCTTCTTAGAGCCTAACTTCTTTTTGATGGAGGTCCTCGAGGTCGGGTACCACCTCGGGACTGGTGAAGATGTCGTTTGCTTCTTGGAGCCTAACTTCCCTTTAATGGAGGTCCTTGAGGTTGGGTACTACCTCGGGACTTGCAGTGGTACGGGGATCTCCGTTCCCGAAACATTGCATGGCGTCTCCTAATGTACGATATGGCTACAAAGCTATCGAGGCGATTTCGCCAGCGTATCAGTATTTTTTTGATCGGCTTTTGAGGCAGGCGGACCGTCGCCATTTTTCTATATATATATATATATATATATATATATAGGGTTGTTTTTGCTCTTTTGGAGATCCCATAATTCTAAGCAGCTACCCTTCTTTTCCTACGTTAAGCCTTTCATCATTTCAGTACCAATCGTACTTGCACCGATTCCTGCTTTAGTTCTCTGAGTTTGCCATCGCCATGACTGTTACATCGGGGTCTGTCGGGCAGAGAGGGGAGAGCTCCGCCTCTGGTATTCGGGACCAACAAGAGCATACCTTGAAGATTATTTCTTTGATAGGAGAAGAGCATCTTAGGTTAGTGAGAAAAGACTGCGGCTGGGGGGAGAAAGTAGTGTTACAGATACTTTCCCCGGATGAGGGCATCATGGATCGTGCCGATCGATTCTTGAATGTGTACACGTATCTTTTCACACTGGGCCCCCTTGATAGGGTTGTGTTTGACTTCTGTTTAAAGTATCGAGTTACCTTGGCGCAGATCTACCCGTCATTTTGGCGAATAGTGTTGATGATGAGATTTTTTGCGGAGAAGGCGGGTCTTGAATTCACGCTCAGTCATCTTATTAGGATGTACCGACCCTTTCACCATCGAGGTCTGCTAACCTTGCGATGCCAGTCGACCACGCCCTTTGTTGTCGACGATGAGGAAGATGGAGACCGAGAGCGGATGAGTTGATTCGTCCGAGTCCGGAGTGTTGACATTATCCCTGCGGAGTTTATGCTATTTCTTGAGGAATGGAATTACACACGTAAGTGGTATACTTCGTGCCTTCTTGGTTTTGTTTATGGTGAAAGCTGGTTTTGTAACCGTGCCTTTTTTCTTTTTCTGCAGCGGTTTCATGGGCGTCGGGCGACGTTCCAGATCTGCCGGATTGGGTTCGGAAGTTGGCGACCCACTCGACTTGTGATGAGCGCAAGTGGCAAGCTTTTTCCTGGGGCAGATGGGAAGCGAAACATCATGGTGTGTGTTGTGCTATTTTTTTTCTTTCCCTTCCTTCATTTGGAGAGGCATTTTCCCTTTTTGCGTATTAATCTTGCTGTTGTAGGCATCGGAGAGCCTTTCGAAGTGAGGTCGCGCTCCTTTGGAGAGGGGGAAGGGTCGCTAGCTTCCGGGCTAAAGAACGACAACAATAAGCGAGAGATGCCTTTACAGGGCAATGGCGCTCAAAGCAAGGTGAAACGGGACCGGGGCTTCAGCGCGGAGTCATTATCCGAGCCTGCCCCGCCCGTGGTTCCTGGTTTGGAAAGGTGGTTTCCCCGTTTCTGTCGCCTTCTTTTTCCATTAACAGTACTTCGAGGGATACCGGAAACCCGGGGTTGCATACTCCGAGCGACCTTGCCTCGACCGAAGTCGATCCTTTCAGAGCTGAGGGAGCTAGATTAGCAGATATGCGCTCGGCTTTCGAGGAAGCCCAGCAGCTTCACTTCGTGGTGAGTTTCGACATAGGCCTTTTGAGTTTCGCGTCTTCCCTTCCTTATCGGGTTTTCCTTTGCAGGCCTTTGACAAGCTTAATTCCGGGCTGCTTCGTCGTGAAGTCAGGCTGCAGAAAGCTATGGATGAGGAGAGATCCCTTAGGCTCCTTTGCGATGAAAAGGAAACCGAGATGGCACACTTGCGGTATGAGGTGAGCCGGAGCTTGAATTATGAGAGTTACTTGAAGGAGCAGGTAGTTTTTTGAGATGATTACTGTTGTTTTAAATATTTCCGTTGTCACTAGATCTGTTTTACCGTTACTTGAATTTATTGTTATCAAAATGAAATTATATGATTTGATAAGAACCGAAATGACCTACATTGTTTTAAAATATTTTTTATGAGTATGTACGGATTACAGAGACAAGTATAAATGGGAGTAGACATTGAAGGATCCCGTAGCTAACGGCGGGTTCGTTAGACCTGGTGCACCTTGTAATTACCGATTACTGTTATAGCCCTCGCTAGTGGGAAGGTAGAACTAGCATACTGTTACTGATATCCCTCGAGTAGGGACTACCGTCATATTTGACTTCTTGCAAAGAAGTCCACAATTATACCGATTACATGATCCGTTCATTGAAACCACCCAAATGTGAATATTGATATTATACAGTGGTTACCGAGCTTATTACTGAATTGTTAATTATATTATACTACAAGAAAAACATGATGAGACTGAAAATTATTTATTGTTTCTGAAAGGTCATTTTATGATATTTTCTGTTTAATATACTAGCATGTTTCTGACTTGTCCCCAATAAAAATAGTTGTGGTTAAGTGTTATTACTCACTGAGCTAGCAACTCATTCCCCGCTATTTTTTTTTACAGATATAGCAGTTGACGCAGGTGAGGATTTCGTTAATTAGAGCGCACAAGTTGATAATTTCTTGGTGAGCTTCACAGTTGTTCGCGTGGGCGGAGATTTTATTTATTGTTATGGTCGTTCTTTGAACTCTTAGAGTCGCTCCAGAGTCACCATTTTGGTGTCATGAGTATTATTTTATTATTATAGTCTTATGTTGAGTATCGTTCTTTATTATAAAAGTTGGAGTTAATTAGTATTTCTAGTTGTTAGTGGGTTGATTAGCAATGGTGGAGGCTTGTTTTAGTTAATTGATAAGTTGTCGATTTATTGGTTTGATATTAGAATGGTTTGTTGTTGATTTTGACACAGGGGAAACTCTGTCCGATTTTCTGTAGAATACCGATGAGGCTTACTTGGGGGCACTTGCTCCTGAGCGCCGGTCACGATCCTAAATTGGGTCGTGACAATCTAACATACATTGAAGGGGAATTCACATGGGGGAACACACACCACGCTTGGAGGAGGCTTCTAACTAGTTTTTCTTCTCTTCTCTCTTTTTTTAATCTCATAGTTCATTAGTTCTAGAGTTTTGGGTGCTACATCAACGTTGTAGTTTGAAGCTTGAATTATTCTTATTATTTTATCATATTTGTTTATTTATTCATTCTTGCGCTTAATTATTTGACTGCTTGATCACCAATTAAATACTATCTACAAATCTCGGATTGAACTCGGGAGAGGGAATTCTAGATTGCATATAAGATCGAGTAGAGCAAGATCTTAACTGTGGGGGGGAGGGGGAGGGGCATTTGCGGTTAGGATAGGAATATACCTAATCGCCTTACTTGGTTACTATACAGGAATTATTAATGTGTTCTTGTTAGTTCTAATTCCATAGGAATTTAGGCGTTAGATTAGCTTGAATAGGCGAGTAGTACTTCGGGAGAAGGCTACGAGCAATATTAACCCTGTCAATCAATAAATCAGATAAATTAATTAGACGATTTAAGATGAAAACTCAACAGGATTGTTAGCTAACCCATAGCTCTAGAATATGCACTCACATTGAATTCATCTTTAAGCATGTCGTTGTTTTCTTTACTCTCTTAGTTTGCTACTCTAGATTAGTTGTAGTTAAATAATCACACATTAAAAAATCGCTTGAATAGATTAATTATCTTAGTTTAATTTAGTAAATAGTTAATCACAAGTCCTTGTGGGCATGATATATGGACTTACAATCCTATATTACTTGTCGACCACATATACTTGCGTGCGCGTTTGGGAGCAACAAGTTTTTGGCACCGTTGCCGGGGACTTAGAAATTAACTATTCTACTAGATTAGATTTTTACTTTTTACCTATTTAAGTTTTTAATTTTAGTTTAGTGTAGTTAGTATTATATATTTTTTTTACATGGCATCTTTGAAAGAAAAGTGGCGGGATAGTAAGTATTCGTATTTTTGTGATCCTTGTCCATATTGTAAAGGACCCCACTTGTGGCAATATTGTAAAAATATTCTCAGGACCGAGTTGTGCACACCATCTCAATCCTGTATTATTGGTGGTGGAAATTGGAATAGTTATCCTAAGTGTTGTTATCCTACTCTAATCCCTTCTTATGTTGATTCTAATAATTCTTGTAAATTTGACAAGAGTAACAAATTGGATGATGTGGAACATGATGTTCGCATTCTTGATATGCACATGAAATTATTTGAGGAATATGGAGGTTTCAGTGAGAAAATTACGAATAAGATGCAACAGTTTATAGAAGAAAGAGTTGAATTGAGACAAGAGATCGACCAATTTGGCAGTTCTATTCACGACTTGGAGGCTCAATTGCATGCACAGGTTGTTGCGTCTAACGCCCAACAATTTAGTGATGAGTTGTGTGAAGATAAAAAAGATGTTTTAGGCCAAATTGAGGAGCTAAAACTAGAATAACAAGCATTAGACCATGTTCTTGTTGATGATGTAGAGGTTGAGGGAGCATACATTATTGAGGATGTCAAAAATAATGCAGTTTAGGAGTTGGGGCGTATTGGTCCTCATTCAAATTATTTTTCTACATTATGTTTGGAGGAGACATGGAGATCGAGCCTTTGGAGATATGTATAGGTGAAGAAAAATACCCTTATATTCTAAAATTGGCAACACCAAAAAGGCAAAACGACATCCCTCACTTAAAGGCCAAGAAGTGCAAGATGCGATATCTATTGCTTGGTTCCTTTATATTTACACCACCACCCCAAGAGCGTGACAGAAAAATTGATGCAAAATTGGGGGCGCAGTTCATATCCTCAAAGTGGAAAGAAAAGTGGTGAAAGTGATGGCGTCGTGCCGCGACGTTAAATCAAGCGCTTGTTGAGAGGCAACCCAATTTTATTTTTCTTTTTTACTTTTGCTTATTTTTTTATCGTGTTATCTTTTGTAGTGTCGTTTTTGTATTTTGTAGGAGTACGTGCATGGAGTCAAAGCCAATAGGCATGTGCAAAAGCGAGCAGGTGGTTGAAACTAAGTGTGAGGTACCCGCACAAGGGATCATACGTGGGAGAAGTCTGAGTATCCTGTGAGCTGCTAATGCTTCGGCCTTTGGCCTACCAAGGAGTCTCTTTTACCCTCTTGTTATTTATAGTGTGCATTAAGGACATTGCAAAATTTTAAGTGTTGGGTTAGGAGATTGTCTGGGTGATTTTCCATGCTATCTTAGCTTAGTTGTAGTAC